CAGCATAGCTCCTAGGATCATTGGGACACTCAAACCCCTCCACCACGATAAGGTAGCAGCCCAAGGAGAGGGCTTCATGTTTAGTCAAAGTTAAAAATGAAACATCAAAGTTAAAAATAACCATAACACTCGTGGCCTTCAGTAGAAATGAGTTTGACACCCCTGTGAGACATGTTAAGTTTTACTCACTTGTGTTTTTATCTACCCTCAGTGACTTGTCAGCTTCTCAGTTTTTTCCTCAGCCAGTTTAGCCACGCCCACCCTCACCTGTTTTCACCCTGTGATCAGTTCAGGTGTCTCCAATTCCTCATCAGCCAAGCTCTGTGTATTCAGTCTCCTTAAATCTGCATTGGAGCAGAGCATTGCTGATGTTTATGCTACACGTAGAGGCCACTGTGTCTCTGTTGCCCCTGAGTTCTCATCGAGTTCAAATAAGTTTGTGCTGCCATTTTGTTTTTGTTAAACAAGTTTATATTTTGAAATCATTGAGTCAGTCTGCATTCTGGGTTCAGACCTTCTGTGACCATGTTGCTCTGCATATTTCACACCCTGATTTACAGTAACATGCTTGTGTGTTTAAAGTTATGTGGTAGAGTGAGTTTGGTAACCTTGTCGCGCCACTATAAGGCTGGCCATGCAGTCAGGAACGCTGGTGCCGGCTGCCAGGAAGGTGATGCCCATGATGACATCAGGAATACCAAGAGTGAAGCCGATCACTGTAACCTGAGACAAACAAACAAACAAACAAACAGATGTTTACAGCTTAGTCGTTTGGCAGCAATACAAAAAGCTCATACACCATCCAAATGTGAGCATTTCCCTCTATTTATGTATAGTAAATGAAATGTAGCACATGGTTGGGTATTGAAAGGGTTTATTTCGATACCGGTGCTAAATTGATATTTTCAAAACGGTATCGGTTCCTAAACGGTATTTAAATCGGTACTTTATAAATAAATAAATAAAACGCACACACTCAGACAGAGGTTTATGAAGCAATGACTATTTCTGAGTCAAAGTCAAACTTGAAATTGACCAACATATTAACTTAAAACCATTAATAATTTGTCTTRGCACCAAATATTCTTAAAGCACTTCTTGTAGGTGGAAGTTTCTGCATCTCATTTTGTAAAGTGACACCACAATTTGGACCGTTTTGCTTTCGACATCTCGACTATAATAACTGTTAACTGCAATGGCGCCTGTTCAGCCTCTCTCCATGAACTCGGTTTGATTCACTTTGGGTCGGGTCGGTTCTACTCAGTGTCCGTGTGTCTCCACGCAGTGTGTCCCTCACTCTGTGGGTGTGATAATGTGCGGACCGTCCGCAGCGGCTTCAACTGTTGTGTTAAAAATAAATTAAATAAAATTAAAAAAGCCGTTGTGGTCTTACCGTTTGGACATCACTTTTATCTATTTATTAATTAATTATTGCGGTGCTGTTTAGCTAAGTGCTTGTGTAACTGTGGGCGGACAGTTTGTTGATCTGCTCAGTTTCGTCTCCTTCACCTCTCTCCAGGAAGTGTTTACAAGTTCTGCCTGTCCCAAAAAGGCAGTTTTATTTTACCATGTTGTCGTATTGCGCAGCACGCTCATATTCCTAAACAAATGCACGTCTCTCCAGGAGGAAATTTGCTGTCAGTCAATCCAAGAGTTAATCCACGGGCAGATTTCTGCTGATGTCAAAATCATAGCTGCTGTACTCGCTTCTACCTGAACCACCAGAGAGGAGGTTCTGAGACAGCGCGGCTGTGGAGATGCAATGGGCCAAGACCAAGCCTAGTCAAACCGCGTACAAGAGCGTCCGTGGAGATTGTGTGCAGAGGATGTCACTATTAACAGTGAACACCAGAGCACAAATTAACAGCTTTCTTTGAGGCACTGAAATAAAGCACCGAAATTAGAGTTGTGTTTCGGTCTGTGTACTACCGCTGATGTTCGCCCCGGTGCCATACTGGAACCAAGTTTCGGTACCCAACCCTATGTAGCACATCAAAATCAACCTTTTTTTCATTTAAAATTGATTAACTAAAGCTTCATTAACCATCCAGTTTCTAATAAACGTTACTCGTCGACTCTTAAAAAGGTGGACCGGTGTAGTGCTGACTGACAGCCGTGGGAACCACTCTGATTTTTTTTGAGACCCGTGACCTCGTTGCTGCAGACAAGGAAATAGATACAAACTTTATTGGCACAAATAATGGCTAAAAGTATGCAGCAGCGTGGATACAACCAAGATAAAAGTCAGATTATGTTGACACTTATAACCCTAAAAAGTTGTACTTGTACGTTTTTTCATCTGTGCGACTCCTGTCATGTTAAGTTATATGTGTGTAAAAGCACAGAAGCAGCCGTTTCTCATTTTTCATACCACAGAATGAAAAAGATCAATAACACCCAACCCTTATGACAACATGATTTGCATCTGTTGACGTCTAAATTAGTTACTGATGTAAAAAATAAGAGGTTCCCAGAAAACTGGCCCTGAACCTACCATCCAGACCATGATGTATGAGAAGAAGGCAATCCAGAGGGTGGAGGAGATGAAGGAGATCATGAAGCAGTTCTCCCAGCGAGGTTTGGAGCAGTTGGGGATGGTGAAGTAGAGCAGCAGACACAGAGGCCAAGCCAGGAGCCACTTCAGCTTGTTAAACACTCCGGCTGCATATATAAAGGCCAAGTCGGGATGTTATGATGGGTCAAAGGTCACTGACAGCATAAATACTGTCCTCCATTAAAAAGGACATTTCATGTGCATCTCACAGCTAACAATCCCTATAAAATGAAGAAATGTAGAGCATATCGTGATAAATCCACCTGGGCACTGGAACGGGACAAAGGGTCCCTCTCCATCCTCTTCCTCCTCTTCTTCGTCATTCTCGTTATTTTCATTGTCCTCATTCTCGGTCTCGTTGCCCTCCTCTCCGTCATCGTTGCGGACGCCGACGCACCTCTCGGTCCTGGACAGCCCGTTTTCTATGCCCCGCCTACTGCCTCCTTTTACGGGGATGTCGGACTCGCCGTTGGTCAGAGTCCTGGTGTTAATCAGGCGCTGTCTCTGCACACCACAGAAGAAGAACTTGGTTGGATTCTACACAGGGATGGAAACAGCTTTAACAATGTTAGACACTCGAATGTACAAACTCTTAGTTTAAACATGACTGTCATTGGCTACGTTCACACTGCAGGTCTTAATGCTCAGTTCCGATTTTTTGAAAAAATCCGATCTTTTTGTGTGAACGTTCACATTACATTTTAAATGTGACCT